GAGCTGGGCTGTCACCGCTTGGCCGCCGGTGGGGGGTTTGGGAGGCCGCATCGCACACAAACACCCACACACTCCCTCAACTTCCACGAACACACACATACGCAGACTCGTTTCCACACGGACATAGACACACGCACAGAAACCCACACACTACCTCAACTCACTCGACTTAACACTTCTCACTACACACTTACCGGATAACTCGCACTCTGATTTCCTACGTGATGAAAAATGCTTTCGGGCCACTCGTCGTCTAGTTCTCACATGTTGCAACTAAGCTCTGTGAATTCTCAGTCCACGATGGATGTGAACACAACCTCTCCGGTGGCCCCTGGCGAACGCCGGTGGCGACGTGGATCGCATTGCAGGTATCGCGCTAGCAATTGGCTTCGCGCTGCTCGGTCCAAAGATGCCCCCATCCCTTGCTATGCCCGAGAGAAAGGATGAGCACCGGAACGGGCACCGGAACGGTGAGCCTGCATACCACAGTCGTGAAGCAGGTTGGAGGTGTGGAAAAAGGACATGGTCTGGAGCACTTGGTTCGCTTTTCATGGAAGAGACAACCATTTAAGATGTGCCGCTGTATTAGGGTGTGTTTGGATTGTGTGTGTTGCGGCACCCCCTTCTCTCCAGAGATTACACCCTCCCCGCCACGTGGGACTTGCAGAGGTTGCCGGGATACTATGCCTCCATGACAGCTGCTCGGTCGCAAACCGCATCGCCCAAAGGACAGTTTCCCCGGGCGAAGAAACCAGCGTCCTGAATATCTCAAGGATTAGGGGAGCCAGTGACCACACGAGTGGGTGTGCGTGTGTGGCGTACGATTGTCGGGTCATCCTCGACCTCGAGACCTTGTACGACTGCAAGATTAACAAAGATAGATGTTTCAGCCAGGCGCGCCCGCAGCACTCCAAAATCCCACACCATTTAAACTTTAAACCCCCGTCCAAGGGTTGGCCAGGGAAGGTGCTTTTGGAGGGATAGGGCCGGGCTTCAGGAGTGTTCAGGACATCTCGCCAGTTGCTTCGGCGTGCATTTGGGGAATCAAGGATGATGTGCCCAAAAGCACGCTCGGCATCACATGTTCATGTCTCAAAGCTTCCCTTTAAAAAAGAACAACAACCAACAACCAATTTGGTCTCGAGCTCTCCCCTCAGCCGGGAAAACCACCTCTCTCCGCCGCCCTCGCTTCGGTTCCGGCGAGGCGCCCTACGGCGAAGCCTTGTTCGGGCACAAGTCGGACGGCCAGAAGTCGCATGGCGCGGACGGAGGAGGAGGAGGAGGAGAAAAACAACACCCTCAAAGTATGGTCAGGTGTACCTGATCAGTGGCATGGTCAGTGGGTCAGTGCTGGGTTGGCGGCTGCATGGTCATGCATGGTCAGTGCCGTTCCAGGTGCTTTGGGTTTATACCAGGACCATCCTGGCGGGGTGTCCAACGGACCACCCTACAGAAAGCTGTATGAATATAATCACTATTTGACACCCCATGCCGATGGTCCAGGGATGTTGTTGTTAAGACATAGCCTTGTCCATGTCTTGTTTTCCGCAGACGGCACCTGGGAACCACGATCGCATTGATGACATGGACAAGGGGAGGACGTTCCATGCGTTAAGGTTGGACGCTGGGGATCTATGAAAAGCCACAGGTCTGTCACACAGTGCTCTCCGAGGCCTTGCTATTGGCCGTAGAATCGCTGATTCGGAGCATCAGGTTACTTGGACTACGTAGCTCCGCTAGCTGACACGAATGAAATAATGAATTATTCCTCAATGATGGGCTCCAAAGCCTCAGATGCTTGCGCGGTGTCATGATGTTTGTAGGCCAATGGGGGAACTAAACATGAAACCACGGCCACACCCAAACCTGCCATAACAGGTGCAGTCGAATCCGCAGGGACGACCCTCCAAGGCTTGCAGAACTCAATGTGCTTTGCACCTCTGTGGCACCTTGGCTTCTTCTGAGACTGACGCACCACAGGACAGGCGAGTCAACTGCCTGCGGGTGGCACCTGGTTTCGCAGTTTGTTTTTTTTATCCACTTCGGTGCGCTTATCAAGGTGAGTGAGTGCCAGCGCACGCAAGCCACTGTAAAATCAGGGCTTAGTTGCAGCAAGCATTCCCTAAGTCGAGTGGCGTGGCCCAGAACTGTTGGCAGTTCACCACTTAACACATAAGTCAAGTCGTCAAGTCGCATCAGTTGAGAAAACGGATGCCCACCTTGTGCTCTTCGCCTCAAGGGTCCTGCTCAAGAAGTTGTCCTGCTCAAGACCCCCTTTCAGTTTGAGAGTCAATTCTGTTAAATTTTAAACTGTTTGTCAGCAAGATTAAGAGGTGTAACCCACAAGGGGGGTATTAGATCCTATATGTGTTCCTTTAAAGAATAAGCTTAGGTAAAATCAATCATCAGCCAAACGCATGTTCCACCGCGACTCTGCTCCGAGGTGGGTTTGGCCTTGGCGCCCTTCTCCGGAACGATCGGTGACATCTTCGGCTTAGAGGTGCCCATGCCCGGTCTCACGACGTCAGTCGCATCCACCGCGGGGGGCTGTAGAATCGTACTTGCAAAGCCGCCATGTTCAAAGCTGTCATGCTTTTTTCAGGCGGTTTTCTGAAGATGTTTTCTTTTTCTTTGGAGCTAGAGGTTCTTTGAAACATGCATTACTCCATTATTACGAAAGCCAGCCTTCGTAGAAGGCGCTAGCGGAGTTGTGTCTGGCGAACGAAGTGAGTAGTTAGGGGGTCTGGGGGGGTGGCCCGGGAAAGGTACACGTAAACTCGGCACATGCTGGGGGAGGAGGGTGCTTCGAGGGAAGGTTTTTCGAGGTTGTGTTGGAGGTGATTTTTGAGGGGTGGTGATGCAAGAAATGCAAAATGCATCATTTGCATCATCTGAATGGAAAGGTGTAGTTGGCACCTTGCCAGGTATAGAGACCCAGGGTAGCTATA